AACAATTATTGGATGAGGTTTTTGAGATATTCAGAACAATCAAGGTCGAGGTAGGGGTTAGCAGCCGAAGCCTTTCCCTTTTTCTTTCTTTTCGCTAATTAGGGCTTTTGAGTAGCAGCTATAATCTTCTATTGGCTCTTAGTTGGTGAATTACGAACGCATTTTGACTGGTTCTTACCTATTATCCATCAATCGGAGGACGTACGCATAGATGACGTCACCATCATAAACGACGCATCATGTGCCACTTTTTTTTTGAGGACCACATTTTGACGTCATCTGTGATGGTTCATCACAGAAGAGACACAAGGCAAACGTAGATTCTATTTGGTCAAACAATAAAATTTAACTCCGCAACTTACGTCGCTTCGCACTCTGTATTTTCGAGGGGATGACTTAACATGTGAAGAGCAAATAGGCCCTCTAGCATCGACTGCATGGAATCACGTGACGATAAAAAAAAACTAAAACAAAACATCTTTGACAATTACTGAGACGTGCAGCAATTTCATTGAAAAGTGTAGCTCGCGGAGAGCCAATCACCGATCGAGCTTTATGCGTAATGGATATATATCCTTGATATATTGATGTCTATTGAGAGAGTTTTTAACCTCTCTTTGCATTATGTGAAAAGTATGAATATCTCATGAGTTTTGTAGATGAAATATGATGATTTCTGATCAGACTTCACAAAGCTAATTTTCACTCTCAACCTTTTACCACCAGACATTAAGTATGCTTATTCAATGGTGTTTTCTATGTATTTACTCTGGTACTGAAGAATATGCTCAAAAATCAGCATCCTCTTAACCTGGTGATAATTTCCGTCTTCCTTATGACTTTATTGTTTGATTCAGGGATACGGTAAGAGGAAATAAGTGCGACACTCCTTACAGATAAAATGGACGATTCGGTTGAGATCTTGAGTCTCTTTTACTTCTTTTTTTCTATTCCAAGCTTTCGTTGATCTATGGAATCGTCAGCACAGTTTAACAATTTGGATGGCGCGAAGAAGGTGAAAACAAGTTTTCGATCGTCTTGTTGGTGACCTTTCCAGTTTTTTTAACCTCCATCCCTCATTTTGCGAAAAGACATCTTGCTCCAGATCTTCTTCGCCACTCGCAGGCCAAAGATCTCTGTCCAGAGGAACTAGATAATTTTAAGTGGCGGCCAGGAAGCTGTCAAGGGAAAAAAACTTGAATATAATGAGAATGGTTTAAGAGGCTCCTTAGTACAAAAATTGCGAATGTTCAATGTCAACACACTCCGCTGTACACAGAAATATCTGAAAGGCGAGGACAAAGGCGTGCAGGCATAAGGTATTTGCTAAGGCTGTTTTGTTTTGCACAATAATCTTACTTTTTGGTTAGAACTTGATCGGCATTTTCCAGCTCATTATGTTTTTGTGCATGTTAAGCAACTGTTTAATTCTTTTAAATATGCGGGAAATTTAAATATTTTCCCGAGAACTCTGCACCTAGATGGCTCTATCTACTTTAGAGTTGCAGATAGCTGTACCTGCAGTATACTATGTTAGCAACTTTGTTTTTAATCACGCGCAATCCTGAAATGATTGTGAGATGCAAGATTGTGGAGGGCGACAGGGGGCGGGAGCCCGAGAGAACAGGGGGCGGAATAGGGCAGGAAGCGGGAGAACAGGGGCGGGAAGCGGGATCTATCTGAGGGCGGGAAGCGGGAGCAGAAATAAAGAAGACGATAATTTGTTATTTATCACTGGGTATTATTCAGTCAAAAACACTTATCTAGCAAAGCCTAGAAATTTCCATTTAAATTTCGGAAGCAAGAAAACGTAAATTTGTACTCGGGCTGGCAACTGAAGCAGCATTACTTCCGGTGAATTTGGAAATCCCTTCAATTCGATTACGTCATAGGTTATGAGATAGCATGACATATGTACACTTATACTTCAGTGTCTAGTAGGCTGTAGCTGTCGAAAATCTCCAGCAAAGAAAGCGATTCAGGTCACAATATACACACAACACCATCCAGAATTTCAAAACCCTGAAGAAATCTTTATGAGCAACTGGCATTACACAGCAAAAACCACTGCGAAGGGAAATCTTCAAAGAACCGCTCATAGTATCATACAGAAAGGGGCGTCCACTCAAAGACATACTCGTGAGAGCAAAATTAGAACGAAGGCAAGAAAATCGACATTCTTTGGAGTCGTGCGAGCTTTTTAATATTTAAAACAAATATAAAGAAAACTTGACGAAGTCGTGTAGGCTTGTCAGCCCCAATTTACACCTGATTATTAAACGGGCGTTTTGAACTCTCTGAAGAAACATTCTGCAAGATGCTTTCAGATTGCCGAGGCGAATGTGATTTGAAAACATATGAAATTGCAGAAAATCAAGAAGTTATCTTGACTCGGCAGAAGAAGAGGCTCTAACCAAAATTTGGAGTTGGAAGAGTTCAGTGTGGTCTTCTTGGTGCCTGGAAGACTTCCTCTAACCTTAAAACCTTCCGCAGAGGTTTAAAGAAGATTTCTACCTATCGAACAAATCTGATAATCAGCCGAACAAGAATGTTCAATCATGCTTCACTAGCACTTAAACTGAACGTTCAAAATGCAAACGGTTCAACGACAGATTTTTCAGTGATTTAAATCATCCTTTGGAGTCAGCTTTTTTTATTCGCTCTCGACTAGCTACAACTAGTTACTTACGTCAAAAAGGGAAAGCAAGCATGGATACAGGAGAAGCAAACAATAAACGTTACGTCTGGCTCTTGATTTTTTTAATTTGATTTTGAAATGGTATTCCTAAATACATGGAAAAACCTACATTAAATTGCAGTAGCTATTACATCACACAGTGGACTGAGACTTTCGTCTCTATAACGAGATGTCAGAAGCGATGGTCAAACTGTGATAAGCAGGTTAGTGAAACTTTTTTTAATTAAGAAAACTGACCTGTAATAACTTTCATCGGGACCCAATGATTCTCTTGCCAAAACAAGGCCAGAAAATGAACAAGAATGTTACGTTTTGGCAGAGTTTGAAAGTTAAACCCGGGTTTCTGGTCCTCGCTCACTCGCTGACTCATTTCGACGACATATGAGGCTTCACCTCCTATAGGAGGCAGCAGCCACAAAAAAAGAATTGTTTTCGATCCAGGACTGTTGTCTGTAAGCGAGTTGGCGGAAGCCGGACATATCATAAGGGTCGAGCGTCTCTGAATATAACTTCCTCTTGAACTGTCAAGAGAGGAGTATTTTTTTAGCGCTTTTAAAAAGAAATTAAATCCACTAGCTATTCAAGTTGAGAATAAACAAGATATGAGAAATGGAATAACGTGTTACAGGTTGTGTAACGGCTGCCACGCCTTTGCCACCGGACATTGACTCGCTATAACTTTCATTCGCGTCAAACCGTAATAATGACGTTACTGTTTGTCCATTAGGGACGTGATCTTTTAAGTTCCAGCCAGAACCACATTTTAGTCAGAAGTGTGTTTCGGAAGAGCGGTTTTTTGCTCACCTTCTCTTTAAGTTGGTTTTGGTTAAACTCTTACAAGCGGGACTGTTATGTAAGCGGCTTACGTTGTTCACGCTTTGTTAGAACGCTGCGCGTTCTTCCCACTTGGCTTTTAGTTTTTGTTAGAGTCCGTTTTCAAGCGGCTCTCTTTTATCCCTTTTAGAATTTAGCTTAGCTTCTTCCTTATAATTTTCATAATTCAGGTTACGATAAAAACTTGAATACTTCGACAACGTTAAATAAGACGATTCAAGCCTTGCTTCATAACGTGTCTTCATTTGCGAAACCCATAGTTGTTGTCGAAAATTTGCTTCGCTTGTGTCGGCCGCTAAATAGTGGATTAATTAAATGATAAGTGTACCGCTAATATGGTGCGTTAAATCGGGACACCAGGGTTGATGGAATGCTTTCAGTAATAAATGGGGAAAAAGTTCCTTGTTGATCATAAGTTTGTATTGAACTTCTGACCAAAAAGTTGCCCACCTCAAAGCTTTTCTCAAAGGCAACGGTCTGTGCACTTGTGTGTACCACAAACCTACAGATTATCATAGTTTCTTGTTATAGTCATCGTCGCGTCCATCACTTGTCAAGAATTCCATTCCTTTTTCTCAGTTTCTGAAATTTCGCCTTTTTAAGTAGTGACGACCCTAATTTTTGCCTCAAATCAAAGGCAATGTACCAGTTTTTCGAAAAACGTGCCTATCCTTTTTCTGTCACTTGAGCGGGCCACCACAGCATTAAATAAATTGACAGACAGCATCACAAACGTCAGAGAAGAAAAACACCGATCGAATCCCATTTACCTAAACATTTCACCCTCACAATCAATCAGTTGAATCCATCATTCCTAACTGTAAACTTTAAATTACTTCAAAATGATCCCGAAACTGGTACCTTTTTTCGCCACTTTCATCGATATCATTCAAACGTGACAAAGGCATGGGTAATTTTTTGATCAGAAGTTCAACATATACAAACCAATGATCAACACAGAACTTCAAATGCCTGCGCGCACGATGCAAAACTGGCCCCTTTATTCATAACGTCCGCAGAAAATATCGGGACTAGAGCGATCCATCAGATCACTGATCATTTCACGTGCACCTCCGCCAATGTGATCCTTCGCATATGCATAACTTGATTTACTTCAAAGGGGTATTCATTGGCGAACCGCAAACAGGAAGACGACTTGGCAACCGATTCCGAGAAAGACCTTTGTAACGGAGAATGGAATGCTAATTTAAGGACGCATCCAAACCAGTCGCTAGACACTTAAATCTCTCAAATCATTCTACGCTGAATATGGCAGTCGTCGGCCTTTCCCTACATCTAAGAAGTTCGGAAAGCTGTAAAACTCCAAAACAAAAATTTATTTCGCAAAACGATACTCTTAATCGCCATATCAACGAACACTGTTTTCAACTATATGTAAATCAGGCGAGCCACTTTACAGAAGTCAATGACCCGTCAAAATTCATCTGCAGTTTATCATGGGAAAAGCATTTCTTATAGCAACTGGTCTTAATTCGCTCTTTTGGCTGAACTACTGAAGTTTTTTTGCCTCCTTTATGTTTTCAAATCATCGATATTGTCGTAGAATACGTTGAACCGGGGGTGAAAGGATGATATTACAAGGGCGTGAAGAGTGAGGCTTGCTTTAAATTGGCCAATCACCGACGAGATTTTTGCTGCGTGCTTCGCGTGTGCGTTAGTTTCAAATTTGTTGCCACGAACGAGATCAGGGAGCGGGCGGGTTGAAGACTTTAAGCCAATCGATTCTTGTTACAACTGCAGCTTAGTAGAACTTCATTTTAGCCCACAGTCCCGTGAGGACTACTTGGCAGCCTGCGTAGGAGGATAATGGCTGGCAACTTTGAGAGGTAAGTATTGATTGTGAAAACTTTCTTTGAAACATTCCGACACAAAGAGCCTTCGAGTGAGCAATACTATGATTCCGGAACCAGATACAAATTATGGCTGCAAAATGAACGCTGAATTTGCGAACTTTAGTGCGCTTCGCAACTTTCTTTGGTCTTGAAGCATTACGTAACAGAATGTTTTGTTTTGAATCTGACAACTTTCAGAATTCCTAACACAACGCTAGGCAATTTTCTGTCCGTGTCCGTCGAGTAGACAACAGGGACCTTAATTAAGCAAACCACGACAGCGACGGTAACGAGGACATGGAAAAACAAAAGATGTAATTGGCAGAACAGTAGCTGAGCACGTGCGTTTTAAAACTTTCTACATTTCTTAGCCCTCCTAGGCAAAACAACAACGTGAAATCACTACAATTTGCGTGGTCTGCGAACCGAAACCACAGCGGCAAATTATTTTAATTTCCGTTTGGAACCCAATGCTTCTTCTATACGTTATGCTGAAGTTCAGGCGTGGCGCAGTATGAGACGGTAAACGCATGCAGCCATTTTTGAAATTCTAATGAAAGGCAGAAATTCATTTTTTAATTGAAGTCTTCCTTGGCGTTGCCGTCCTGACTGCTTAAGGTCCCTGTTAACAATTCAAGCGTGTAGGCGTGCTACTTATACACGGGGTTACTGACTTTTTCCATTTTTAAATTGCAAATTTTGTATTTGTTCGAATAAGCCTCCAGGTATCCTGAGAATTGGTATTTGGGAAGAATAGTGTATCAAGTTAAGCTAGAAATGATTAGCACAGTCATGAATTTTCTTTGCATCCTTCAAGGCGAGCTTTCATTCATGTTTGCGCGAGGAGTGACGTGCAATGCGTGCTATGTGAAACGCAAGGGAAGAAAAAGTTTTCTCAATTGATGTGGTAATTGCTCATAGTCAACAACAACCCTCTGCATGTTCCTGGAAATAAATTGGAACCTCGTTCGGAGGGTTTGTGCTGTACACATCCCAAAGGAGGATCACGCTGGCCAAGTGTTTAAGTATCAAAACAAACTCCACCAGAGGTCTCTAGTGCGCTTCGAACTTTCAACAACCCGTCTTGGGGTCTTGAAGTTTCGAGTTGATCGGTGCATAAAGATCGAGTGAAAAATCTCAATCTTCGAGGAAACATTCTATTCAGGACGAGAAATTGAAAACCTAAAACTGTTCTACGGAGATAACTGGGCAACTGAAAATACAATTGACACGAACATGTAAATTTTCCTAAAAAACAAGAGTTTGAAAACGAATGTTCCGAGTTTCTTCCACGAGTATGGATCACTACAGGGTTACATGTAGACTGTTGTACGGCTTGCATGGAACATCAATTTCAGTACGACAGAATCAGCAGATTACTGTAAGTTGGAAGATTTTGATGGAAAGAGTTGTGCCTTTGTCTTTCAGTGGATGAGGAAGGGGGACCTCAACAAGTCCAGCCAAAATAATCTTCTTAAGCAGTAGTATGGTCCCGTAATTGAGATTGGTGGGCACATTGATCATATAAAATAGACCTGTAGTGTGGCACTTATCAATATACGTTGGGAATTTGATCACCCAAAAACGACAAATCCACATTACTCAGGGGTTGTAGATGGGGGAAGGGGGATGTTGAAGGTTCAATATTGCTATTGTACATTTAGTTTACAATAATAGTTTGAACAACTTTTCTCCTGTTATGAAACATCACCTCCACAGTTGAAGGTAAAGAGAGTAATATTTCTGTCAGGGAAGTTTCTGTCATAGTTTCAATATCAACAGCTTGTGGAAGTTGATGAATAAGTTGCCTAGTGCAACCTACAAATGAAGTCAAATTAAGTGTCTGATCTCCACAGTAGAACAAAATTTGAGCATATCATTTCTTTGCACATTACGATTTCCTAGAACTTGACCTTTCATCGTTGTAATGTGATGCGCACCGCAATCAAACGAATCATCACGTGCGATGCGAAATGAAACTATCTACATTCCGGTGCGCATACACTGAAGCGAGCGCGATTGTAATGAATAAAATAGCACATCATTCACAATCTGAAATAGTTTATTTTCCTTCTGATCCTCATCGAAGGTGATCGAGGTAAATTCAAAGTTTCGAAGAAATCATCACCTGTAATGCAAACACCAATTTGTTTACATTCCGCTGCGTTAACATAAGAGGTAGCGCTGTTTACAATGAACAAATTGGGAAGCATGTTAGTGAGTTTCGCTGCGTTACTCGCATAATAATACACGTGTTTCGATGCCTTGTGTTAGAGACATTTTCCTTCCCGGTGATTCATCAATAACTCAAATCAAGCAAATCTACTGCTACTGCTCGCTCGAAAGCTGATTAGTGATGATAATTTTAGAATTATCCCGCCCAATTGTATGGTTGGTTGGGCACATGTGCTCCGATAAAGCTAAATTTTCCTTTTTGCTAAAGAAACCGCTTTTTGACGCTCTTTCAAACGTGTACCAAACTGACGTTTGGTCTGTCCGATGTATTCGTTGTCACAGTCATTGCAACGAATAGAATAAATAGCGTCGGTTCGTTGTTCTTTCGTGACAGGATTCTTGGGTTTGGTTAACTCCGCCCACACTCCTTTGAATCGTGACGATGGCGGCTTGCTTCCTGACGCCTATTTACACCTCGTCAGAATAAAGGTAGCTAATTAGTGATCATATAAAAAGACCTCTTGTTGCAGCGTTTAGACCACCCCTAATAAAGGCACTAGACAGGAGTGTCGAAACGTTGGGTCTATGAACATTAACTTCTTCAGTTACATTCATTAAAACTGTTAACCAGAGTAGCATCAAACCATGTCTGACTGTCCACCTGGTTGCTGTGTGAACTTTAGTATACTATAAAAGTTCTTTGTTTTACACAACAATGTAATGCAAAGGAAGCTTATAGCACTGAATAACAAAAGCACACGAGTGGTGCATTGTCTTCGACCGCACGCGCAGCAAAATCGTATATGTGCGTCTGACTACCCTGCGTCTGAGCGTATGAAATTCGTCTGCGAACTTAATATACACACGGGCGGTACTACAGGTTGAACTTGAATTGTATCATTCGGTACATCAGGCTTCCATGTACAATTTTTGTTGAACCAATGTGACAGGTCACAGTTGTCCTACTGGGTTTTGCTCTCACTTTCCATCTCTCTATTTCTGAGCTACGATTTTTTGTAAATGATCCATGTTTCGTTACAGGAGATATCCGATGAAACGACTTTATTTCGTTTGGACAGAAGTTGTAAACAGCACTGCTTTTAGTAAATCGATGTTTTGAGCTATTGAAAAAGCTATTTGATCACTGCAAAAATCGAACAAGGGTCGCTTTGTAATTAGTGACCAGTTAGTGAATCGTCGACGATTTTGGAACACTTTTCTTGAGCAAGACCTTTAAGTGTTTACGAACCTTTCTTTTCCGCAGCTTTTACTTAATTTTCTTAACTTGTATCCTTGAAGGTTCGCGATTTCAGTGTCGTTTACAGTTTGGTTGAAAGTATGCCGTAAAACAAGATTATAAATCGACCCCACCGTCAGGGCTCAGTGATGATGTAACCACCGACAGATCGATTTAATCGCCGCCACAATGGGCTTTGTGTTTCACATTGTTTAGGCTGAAATGTATCCCAAAGCCTTACAGCTAACTAAAGGCAATGGGTCTCACTGATACTGTCAATTTAATCGCCGCCACAACAGGCTTTGCGTATCAAATTGTTTAGGCTGAAATGTATCCCAAAGCAAAACAGCCCACAATAGGCAATGGGTTTTATTTGTGAACATAAATCGATGCGATACTTCCTGCGGTAAGAAAGCCTGGAAAAGATTTGTCTTCCGAAGCGCCCCGTAACTTGAACGCGGTGACGACTGTTGTTTGAAATAGGCTCGCAACGGAGGTGTTGACCCTGCTTTTCGTTTGGAACTTCGAAAGCAAGTATCAAAACTTTTTCCTCCGCCTGCCATGTAAAAACTTCGAAAGTTGTGATAACTTAAACATTCAAACTTTGAAACATTCATATTGATTTTACTCACCTAGGAAGACACTCCCACAAAACAGCGCAGGGACATCGACTGCGAAGAATACAGGGTCGAAACACGTGCAATGGCGAAGCGTATACGTCATTTCCAGTTGAACCAATGACATCACGCCATATAAGTTGAACATCCCAAGGGATCACGTTCAAGCCAATGAAATTGTACAACATAGCAAACGTACCATGGGATTACCATTTCTTTTCCGAACCAGTAATAATTACCTTGTTAAATTCTCCCACTAACGCAGCACCACAGTTTCTTTAGAAACTAACCCCTTTTATTCATTGATATCCAAGTATGCTTTGCTCCCAAATAAAAACAACACGTAATAACATATGTTTCTTGCAACGTCCGTTAACTGCTTGTCTCAGTTATTATTCACTACTAAGTGCTATATTATGCCCTATGTTAGTTGCAATCATTCCCGGAAGAAGTCTCTGCTAAAGACGAAACGCGTCGGAAGAAACATACAAAAAGTTACAACAGCAAGAAGAATTCCTTTGTGCGGCTCACTGGCCTCCGCAAAAAAATAGACTGTGAATCAATAATAAGAAAAACGTTGTAGAGATAATGTAATCTCTTCAAGCTAATTGTTCTGGAAGAAATCCCAGTTTCAGTTTTGCCTTGTTGTCCTTGTTTGGTGCAGGTGATTCTAATGATATGTTTGACATAATGGGTTCTCTATGTCATGTTGCGTTTCGATAATCGTTCTCTTCATCACGTCCTCTTGAGTGACTCAAAAATTAAATTATTTGACTATGTAAATATAAAATACCGGTGTCACTGTTTTTATATCTTTAACAAAAGTTATAATGGCTGTCTTAAAGCTCTTAACTCCCGTAAGTTATCAACATATTACTTCTCCCTATAATGTCTACACATTACCGAACAAACTGGTGATCAGAATACTCAAACTCATCAGCTGGAAGTTATCTTGATCTAGGACCACATTCTTGTAACTTTTCAAGTAAATATGCGAACTGCAAGGGAGGAGAATTAACAATCAGATATTGGGAGTTTGATAAGGTTAAGGATAAGTACATTTTAATTCCAACAACAAAAGCTACAGCAATAACTAAGTTGCATAAAACCCTAAGCAGGAGCTCCTGTAAGGGCTCCTGCCCTAAGACATTAAACTACAAAAACAAAGCAAAAAAATTGAAACCAACATTAAAAAACACGAATACAAACAAATGACAAAAATGCGGAGGGTAAATTGATTCTAAAAATGATAAATATTTTATTGATTTTAACGTCATCTTCGCCTCTGCATCGCGCGAGAAGAGAAATGTTCTTAACTCAACCGAACATATCAATATTGCTAAAAAAGTAATAACGCAGCCAGAATCTTACTGAGGCGCCACTAAAGAAGGTTTAAATTGGTGTGACAATAGACAAGAGCTTAGAAAATAATCATGTGGTTTCTTAAACATATTAGTCAGCCCTCGATAATAATTATTATGACAAAATAAGTGAGTTGTGGGGGAACTTTTAATATTACCTTACAGGAAATAAAATATGATTTTCAGTGAGTCATTTTTTTATTAAATTCTGATTTTCTTTCACTGTCCTCGTTTTGTTAATTTTAACACGGTATCAGCTCGTCTACCAATGCTACCTGTCCTTGGTTGCAAGGTCTCGGCCCCTTTCATACCTTTTTTCATTAATTTCTCTCCGTCAAGTTAAGTCATCGTCTATTCCTCTTTCCTACTGAATTCTCAGTTATAACATCTCTGGGATAGTAGTCGGGGACATTCTGCTGATATTTCATCCTGTTAACTGGAATATACCTGATTGATGATAACTTTCCATGCGGTGAATTGTGCTTTAGATCTGATGCAGTAGAGAAAGTGGAGCTGTCTGACGATCCTGAAGTAGCAACAAACTCCGCTGAAACACCATCGTCTAGGAATGAAGTTCAACCACAAGAAGCAGATCTGAGGAACGAACAGTCCAGGCTGCCGGAGCAAGCTGATAAACCTGATGGTTCTGGTGAGTAGGATCATAGAAAGTGTCTCAATTCCGGTTCATGATAACGTGTCAATTAATAATTGGTGAACCTGTTAGCTAGAGACCTTTGTTGATGTAGTTTGGTTTCTGTTGAGGGTAACGGAAAATGCCTTAACTATTAATCATGTTTTGCTTTTAATTCTTCCAAGATGTCATCGCATCAAGGGGATTCTGCTAGAGGAATTTTTCTCTTTTAGAGTTAGTGTGCCGTTTTTTCAAAGTAGATCTCTACGATCCCCTTACCCCATGCATTGTGGGCTTATCGTTATCTGAGGCCTTCGTTATGGTTGTTCTTTGAAAAAACACAGTCAAGGTACTTTTTTTCCTCGGATGAGCTGTCTGTCGTGTTGCATACCAATTGCGCTCGTCGCGTTAGAGTCCTGATAGTTGTGGCTTTGTGTGATATCGGGATGTAGGATAACTCGTCCAGTGTTCTGTCGGTATGTGTCAGTTTCCCGTAAACTGTTCCAGCCGGCCTGTGTGTTCCCCGTTGAACACCTAAAGACGATTGGTCAAAGCGGGGATAAATGATTACCACAGAAGACTCAAACGCTACAAAAACAAAGTACAGCAACTACACGACAGACTGAAACAACCGGTAGCTTCTGACTTACTTGACTCTGTTATGACCATTGCCGACAAACGAGCCAACAAAACGAATGAATGTGCCCGTACTGGACATCAACAAAGACTGACACGACTGCTACGCAACAAAGAACAGAGACGAGGTAAACCGGACGACAGCTGGGTGTGGAACATCTCTTCTTGTCCCTTAGACATGAGTGAAACTCGTGTACTGTCATATGGACTAAAACACTCAGTTACACCGAAACCGGGATACCGACCGAGGCTATTGTGTTGAGGCGACACTGTCTCGGCAACGAGAGCTATCTAAGCCGACTAAGGATAACATCAGAAGTAGAATTCCTTCCGCTATACAATCAGCGTCACTTCATGACAGCAACTTGGCTAAAGACGAACAACATGCGCTGAAACGACTGAAAAACGACGAGAAATGGAATTTAAACTGTGTTTTTTTAAACTGAAGATGTTCACACTTGTGAATCATGCTTACGTAAATATGATTGTTTTACAGAAATTGAGAAGGAACTCGACGATGCTCTGAATAAAGGAGATTTCGATGATATTAATCAGAAAGTGACTCCAAAAACCCTGGCAAGCTGTAAAAGTAATACCTTACTCAAAACGTTTCAGGTTAGTCTTATAACTTTACCTTAACCGATTTTACCTGCGCACTTAACCTGGGGCTGTTTTGCTATACCAAGTGACCTTCGTGATCCTTAATTTCTGTGAGTTGGTTGCACCACTCCTCATTAGCCCTTCGAGCTTTTCATACTCATATTACTCTCTCAACCATCTGGCTACAAAACTAAAAAAAATTGCGTCTTGTCTTCTCGAATTGTACTTGTATCTTAATTAACCTTGAATTTTCATTGGCTTGCATTGATATCTGTATTTGTTTTCCCATGGTTGTAGCGGCCCTAATCCTGTACATAGAAACAATAGCCTCTATTTGGCGCGAAAAATATGTACGGATAGTTGTCCACGAAAAATTGTCTATTCCAAGATGCGAACAGTGAATTTTGTGAGCTTCGAGGAACAGATAACGTCCAAGGACAAATGTACAAGCATATTTTTGCGCAAAATACAGTCTATTATGTTAATTATCCTTAAAAAATTTTGCAACGCGCGTGAAAAATGTTTACGAATAGCTTACTGTATGAAGTATGGGATGTTTTCTTTTGAGTGTTCTCTGGTGTAAACTTTATAACAAAAATATCTTCCTCTATAATAACCACAAAACGCTCTCTCAACTTGATTCAAATTTTTAACGACGACGTAAGGTTCGAAAATTGGGGAATGTCACTTGGTTGAAATGATCGAATATCACCTTGTTTTATCTGGGGGATATTCCGTCACGTGCTGCGTTTATACCAATCGCGCGCTAGCAAAATTATTTGACAGATCATAAATGCATAAAAGAAACCAACCAACACACGACGCCGATGTCGACACCGAAACCGACGATGAATACGGATTTAAATCCCGAAAATACCCCCTCAACATGAAGATCTAGATAGATTCGATATGTACATATCAGTTTGCATAACTTTGTACTGACGAAACCCTAACCGGCGAAACTTTTAACAAATAGAGAGGCCTTGACTGTGCTCTGTTCTGTTGTATAGCACGCAGGAAGCGGCAAGAGCACGAAAGAAGTGTAGTGAGAAACACGAGACGTAGTAAAACAGAACAGAACACAGTCAAGACTTCTCTATATGTTTTATAATAAAGAATCCGTTAAATTCCCCAAGCATAACTTTCAATTTTCAAAACAGACTTTATTTTCAAAGCAAACAACAGTGTCGTCAGCATGCTCTATACTCTCATAAAGCACGCTACAGTAAGCCAATCAGAATCCCTGCTAGAATGGTTCAAATAATCTGATTGGCTATACAAGACTAAAACTGTCAAAAATGTCAAACCATCAAAGTTCATATTCTGCAATAGTTTACAGACCAAAATAGTTCGGCATGTCGAATTTAACACTTTTGCCTGAAGTTTTTTAGTTTCTAATACAGAATCTGAAAGTGAAATGTTCAGTAACATTCGGCCCAATCGTGGCTCACAAAATTACGCAAGTTATTTCACATGCCAAGTAGAAAACAAACTCTTCAAGGCGAGTGTTTTATGAATGAACGACAGCCGAATTCACCAGGAAATGAAGATTGTTCGGAATGATAGCGCCGTAAAACTCGGCTGCAGTGACTGATGTGGCCTTCCTCTCAACGCATCGGAAAGGTTATCAGAGCAAGCTCTTATTTTTCCACTCGAAGGGTAGTCGATTTAGTTCCTGAGGCTTGCTCCACTGCGATGACCAAAGATCGCCATGGTGAACTAGCCGTGATAGACTTAAGCATGATCGCAATCGCTCTGACACCGTCATGATTAGTACGAATTTTAGAAGTTATGCCAGGTTATATTTTTCATCATCCCTGTTTTTTTCTGTTTTGTTTTTGAACACGAAACTTTATATACTGTACAAGTGCTAGCTGTGTTTGATTTTTATTACAGTAGGTAAACTTGCAATCTAACTAAGCGTGAAAACCTTTAAAACTCGGACTGTTCATTTTGTTTTATCTTTGAGGATTTCTGTCTCTGCTCACGTCATAGTTAGGTAAAATACTGCGCCTGGCATTTTTTCAAACCTTTGCTCGCTTGTTCCGAAATTTCACTGTCAGTTAACGAAAGAAAAGCTAGAAAGAAGTCCCGGGAAGGGTCGGACATAGTACAATTTGGCAGGTGGCGTGACAGCTTTAGTTCAGTTCTATGCTCTAGACTCTCATAGAGCACGCTCTTTTAACCAATGACAGCACGCGTTATATCCGAACTTTATTATAAATATATATATAGAGAGAATAATTCATGGGCGCGCGTAGATATGGAATTTCTCTTCCAGCGTTTAACTCGATAGCTCACGAGTGACGCAGCGAACGAGTGAGATGTCGGGTTGAACACGAGAAGAGAAATTCCATATCTACAAGCAACCATGTATTATTTTGTTTATCATATAAACACAATAGCCCTTTACTGAGAAGAAAAGCCGACTTCATTAATAAATGAAAATAAACGAATCGACAATCCCCGAATAACAATCGTAGAGTGCGTTGGCGCTAACTCTTAAGATGGAAAAATGCGTTGAATCATGATTACAAAACCAACGAAGGTCGCAATTTTCAATTTACAAAATTCTCATTTATTGACTTTGTCCTTAACGACAGAAGAAGTCTTTCAGGTAAACGGCCAAAATCGTCCAGTGACAAATCTTTCAGTTGCCGATTTTCATTCTCAGCCGAGAGAAATGCTAACACCAAAGCCACTGAAGACGTTACTTCCAGTTTTCTTTTAGTATATTGGTTTTCTTACCCTTGTAGGAAAGTTTGAACCTCACTGTCTGTCAGCAATACGTATTTTTTTAGCGTTTTAGACGCCACAATTTGAGAAAGCTTCGACAAACAACTTTTATTAAGAATCGTGAGGGCTTTGCCGTTTATTCATCAACCTGACCGAGTGGCGCCAAAGGCGAGTGACGTATCAGCAGCTGATTTGCTATATCAGTACACGTGAAAAAATACAAGGAAATATTCCCTGAAGTGAAAGAAAAACAGATTATCCGGACTGACGACAAAATACAGAAGCGTGACGGAGAGCAAAAAGACAATATGAAAACATCCGCCGACAAAAGAAGACGCACATCGATGATGGATATCAAGGTGGGGGATGTAGTTCTCTGCAGAAAGGAACGGAAAACAACAGCTTGAAGCCCACATATGACCCGGTTTTACACGTGGTGACTCAGACGACCAAGAAGTGTTCGATACGGATGTACATCTGGCTAGAGTTTTGGCCGTTTTCCGGCTAACGATTTTGAACCCCATTGAGCCCCTAATATATATGCATGCATATAGCCGCGTAGACCGTTCGACACAATTAATGACACTAACAAATGAATTTCAGTATTGAATTGGTTAATTATCGAGACTTGACTTGTTGTAAGAACCCTCCTCTCATTCTCAACAACTTGAGACTGAGAGGAGTTCAGAAACATTATCAATGATTTTTATAGAGCCGTTTGATTAACGTAATAACTGTAATTATTTTCTCCCACAGGTCAACAAAGCACTTCAAGATTTAGCACATGATGAGAACTCGGAGAAAGATGATGTAAAAATGCTGGAAAAATCTATAGATGAGTTCATATCAGCCTTAATAGACCCTCTAAAAGTTGACCCCGATACCAAAAAATCATTTCAAAGTTGTTTTGACGATGTGATTGACAAGGCAATCGACACAGAGCAGAAGAAGGTACTACACTAATGATAAAAACGTTTCTAGTCAATTCATCATACTCCACCCCTATAGAAGATTCTGGTGGGAAAGCTGCTGCCCATCTAGGCAACTTGGTGCCCTTCTCAAAGCGTAATATAATGCCATTCCAATAAACAGAACGTCATTTCAACGTCATTCTACGGCGAGGATAGTTTTTGAAAAAAGATCGGATCAAAATTTTGTTAATGGTGACATGAAGCTCTCCTGTGATAAATCATGAGTAAGAACTAATCTAAATTCAGCTTATTGCATAAAGTAATATACTGACGATTTATTTTCGCAGTTCATCTCTCACCCAGTGGTGTATGACTTGCTCAACACTACATGGTACCGCTCCTTTTTCTCAACAAGAAAGAAATCATGGCGGTCACCTGGACGCTGGGGATACTTTTTTCTCAACCTTTGGACAGTGTTTGACTTCGTCTTGTTTCCCTTCCTCTTTGCCATTTTCTTCGCTGTGCATTTGATAAAACGGGTCTTGAGGAGAAGAAGAGGTTTGTGATACAGTTTTTTAACATTCGTTAAAGTAGTTAACATCTTATAGTAGATGGTGATGCGTTTTTACTTCCCTAGGCAAGCGCTATGGTGGTCAAGGTTTGGACCTGGAGAAGGGAAGGGTGATAACATTGCCGTAACTCACTCCTGCCTCCTTAAAACTGAGTTACCACGTCAGTTCAGTCCTCCCAACTGACACAACACAGGATTCCTAGCTGTAGCAATGAAACATAAAATTCTTTAAGTTATAGAACATTATTCTTGATCGTTATCCATTCCTCGCGATTATTTGTTGCATGATCTTTGAAGCCTTACGTGAAAAAGTTCACCTTAAGTCGTCAATTTGGCTTAAATTCAAAATTTTTATTTAATTTACGTTTTGGCCAATGATCAGTGAAGGGCTAGTTATTTACAGTTTATTTCCGTTGTGAGATAAACTGTGGGATTATTTGTAGGCCTGTTATTTGTTCCCGTTAGATCATAACAGTCATAAGAATTGTTGTGACCGTTATGTCGCCACTGGAACCAAGTCTCGAAATTAGATACCAGCAGCTACTGGGGAGTTGTTTAGATGCATAGCGTCAGTTGAGGTATGTTTTCTTTAACTCATTGGTTTGATGGCATAGCGTCTGATACTTTTCTTAACTTGCAGAAACTGAAATGTGTTTTGTTTCGACGCTGGACAAGGATGGGCCAAGAGAGGAATTTGATCTAATCAAAAAGACGATGAACTACATCATTCAGGAATATGGCTACCAATCTGCCAGCTACTGTGAGATTTTACGTAAAAACAACAAATTGATTGGTGACATGAACTTTGAAACGAGTTGCTCTGGTGAGGCCACACTGCATAATAGGATTGTCGAGTTAGAGCAGCCAAGCTCTCCTGCTCTACTATCTGAATATCTCGAAGCTGTTTATCGTGTATTCAGAACCCCAAACGTTCGAGAAGAAGCTAAGAAGGTGAGGTATGTCCGCGTGCGACTGATTTCCGCTGCTCTGTCGAGTTCGGTGAGTCAACAAGGGAGAGTGGGCTCACTTTTCAACCATTAGCTGGTTATTGGGCCATGTTAAGGTAACACTTGCGATTGTAAGTTCGGTGACAGTTCTATGTAGTAACACTGCAAAGGAATAAGGGTACCTCCAATAGTGTACTCACTGTGAAAGGTTTTTGCTCTCTATCATTTTATTCGACCTGTGTTGCTTGTACTGCCTGCAGCCATTTGAAAAATCATGTTCAACTTTGATTGATTTTGATGATCGCACGCTGCATTGATATATGTTTCAAACGGAAACAATTATTTTTCGTCTCATTTTCTTCCTGGAACGAAGTCAAGGGAATCATTGAGAAAGGGCAAATTTTGCTTTTCCTCGAGCTTCAATGTCTCCTTGACTGATATTGCAACTTGTTGTTTTCCTTTGGAAAAAAGCATAAAGTGTTTAGTATGATTTTCAAATACTCTTATACGAATATTTCCCCCTTTGATTTATGAATAGTGCTTTAAAGTCAGGTGTCAAAGTAAAGAAGCTGAGCACAACGGTTGATTTGTAGATATACATATACTATCTTTATAACTGGACATAGTTCAGTCAAATTAGAGCAGAGAAAGAAATCGATTGCTCGGTGACTTTCCTAAACCTTTCACCAAATCAACTTTTTTAAAGCTTATTCATTCATTAATTTAGTAATTCATCTTACCTAACATTAACATCTCTACACAATCAGTTGTGTAGACATATTAAATAAGTGGCGAGCCAGACAGCCTTGATAATACTGACATAAAGGATTCAAAAAGTTTCAAGAAAATCAGCAATACTTGGAAGAATCAAGTATTATTGATCATAACTGATCAACCTTGTGAGTTTGGTGCTAAAAATTACACTAAATATCTTTTTAAAGTTTAGTTTGATTTTTCATCAGGTTGTCGTGTTTTTTCTTAATTACACATTGGACATGTCAATGGAAAAAACTGTGGAGCTACAGAGATTAGTAAAGGATATAAAGGATATGCAAGTTAACATCGTTCCCGTCGGTATTGGGGAGAACGCCAAATTATCACAATTAAAATGGATGGCAACTAAAGATGGCACAGCACTTCACTTTGGAGAATACGAGTCACCCGAGACGTTAGGGACAGCGGTCATACAAGGTAAGTTGGAGAGGTTTAACATTTCTTTACGAACCACACCTTCTCAGAATAATTAATTTCCTATGTTATATCGGAAAGAAAAAGAAAGTATTACATCCCGTTGTTACAGCTTGAATAGTAAGTGTTTTTTTAAACGGTGACGTGATTTAAAGGCTCTAACATCTCCCTCCACTGGATTTATCATATCCATGTTTAACTTTTCTTGCAGGTATCGAGGGAAAGGACATCTATGGTGAGGACAGGCCTGTTTGGTAGCTATATTTTCATAGACCGTTGAAGATTTTTCTCCAATAAGTTTTGACAGATTGTCAGCACTCTTTGAATTTTCTTTCGAGAGTATCCATTCTAAGCTAGCGTCTCACTCCTTGTCTTGCAGAGAGATACAAAGATTACTTTACGACTCCTTATTTCGTCTTTTGTCGCGACACGCTGAGCTATATCACCCTCCTCGTCCTTCTATTCGCTCTTTGCCTGTCCCCTTCAACTCTTTCCTTCAGTCGACTAGAATTGGTTATATCAGTTTTCTTCGTGGGACGCATTGTAATGGAGATAGAGCAGTTTATCATGATTAGGCATGAAAAGAACGGAGTGAAAGCGCGCAAAGGGAAGAGAAATAGTGTCGGATCCACCCGCCAAGCATGTTCACCTGAGGATCCACAGGAGACAAACGAGGCAGGAAATGACAGCATTTTGCTAAAGACGTTTACTGGTTACTTCAGGTATCTAATTTTTTCATCGGTTTATTTTACTTTTGGAGAATTCTAGATTCCCAAACATGTAAAGGGCATACATCTACGTGACCAGTGACCACATGAATTTGACTGACGAAAAAAAGGTAACCATCTTGATAAGGTAACAAAATTGAGCACTATTGACTGCTTGGGTGCTGCAGTATAGCCCACTGTTCATTGTCAAGAGCTGCATCAATCATGATAGAATGCACCATTTTTAATGCTTGGGTACATTAATAGGGGCCAGTAACAAATGTTTTGGTACGCCAATACGAACCCTCGCTCATTGTTTTGCCACATCGATTGGGGCTACTTCACATTAGTTGGGTAGACCAGTATGTGAACCACGAGTCGCCTTCTATGTGTAATAAGAAGGGCCACTTTAATTTATTTAGGCACAACAGTATGAGTATCTTTTGATTTTTGGATACACCATTATGGGCCACTGTTATTTGTTTAGGTAGACCATTACGGAATGATATTCTTTTTTTTAGGTACTTTCAGGTCACAAATTGGGTTCTACCCATGACGAGACATTGAAAATGACCGTACTGCCGAGGTTCTCATTGACAATCTACATACTAAAGTTTTAAATTAAGCAACATGATAATGATTTTGGAACTAACAAGCAAAAATCTAACAAGCAAGGAAAAAAAAATTGTTAAACCAACAGTTTAAATCTTCCATTTGTAAAAAATGTAACAACATCATTCATACGTAAACCTATTCTCTTGCATGTGAATGACGTACGCTCTGTGCATTGACTATGTTTATTTATGCTCTTCTAATGCAGTTGATATTCATTATATCTATAGTGACCGCTGGAATTTGCTTGACTTCGTCACTCTTGTTTTGTACCTGATTACCATTATATTACGCATAATCACATTAAGGATCTCCACTGACGTATCAGAAAACAGACCCTTGATTGTGTCGGAGTATTTCTATGGTTTTATTGCCATGTTTCTTGCACTAAGAGCCTTTGGTCAAGTCATAGAGCGCTTGCGGAAAATGGGTACAATACAAATCGCCCTATTCTTTATCATGTCTGATGTCTTGGGGATATTTTGGCAGTTTGTGGCTTTGATACTGGCTTTTGCGCTGCCCATTACAAAGATTTATATAGCTGAGAAAGCTTATACTTCAGGAAGAGATTCCGCGGAAGATTTGTGAGTAGAAATTATGATCTTGCCAATAAATCTTCGAACCCATAAATAACAGATTCTAACTTGTTGTGCTTATTCATTTTTTACTCTTATTTTCATAGTGTGAATGTTTTTTTTAAGTTGGGATGGGAACCTCATGTGTGTTTAGGCGCCCAAAGAAAGTGACATTTGGCTAAGAGCTAATCAAGTGAGATTTAGTTTTTGGATGGGAAGCGTAACAGGAGTTTAAAACTACTTACACCAGAGTGCCAGACTTTCTGTAAAGAGCGAGATTTTTTTACTATCTTTATGACTCTGTGTAAATTTTAATCCTTCCTTTTCTCCTAGTATTTCAAGGGTATGCAGTGAACCAGGGATACTTTGGTAAGAGTAAAACTATTGTTGTTTTTCATTCCAATTTTTTACATCGTGTACTGATCCTAAATACATCGAATCACGCGGTATCTTCGCAAAACTTGAATTCTGCGTTTCAAATGCTTCGCAATCAATTAAGACTCATGGTTGTGAGCTGAATTTGTGAGGCAAAGGAGGCAGCGACCCAGTGCGTCAGCTAGGTTTTACTAGTGTTAATAAATAATGAACGGCTGGCTACCTGTCGTTTCCCTGAGGAAAAAGGGGGAGAGGGGAAGTGAAAAAGAAATCGCGTGTTTTATAGAACAGGTTCCACTGTAATCCTTCGTGTTTCACCAGAATTTGTCGTTTTTCGACATGAAAACTTTCAGGGAAGACGCCATTAATTTTCGTGGCAGTAGATCTAGAGTTACGAAACAAGAAGTAGATCCGAGTTTGAAGTAACCCTCTTTGCCTTCCATTTCTCTCGGGGCCTCGCCACTCAAAACTTGCACAAGTAGCCTGCTATTCAGTTTCTCCTGTGAAATTGAATAACAGGCATCGAGGCACCTGTGACTCGAAAGCTACCGCAACGCGGATGTTCAGAAATAGCTATGGCGGTCATACTGCTCTCAGTTGAAAAATTGAATGAATGATTTGTTTATCTAACTACTTGCTTTTGAAACTGTTCTCTAGTTGGTGGGACATAGCGACACACCTAACCTGGTCCTTGCTGGGTTTAGCTGAAGTGGATAAGTTGGACGCCGCCGACTTTCCTTCCGTTTTTTTTATTCGTCTGCTGTACGGCTTGTTCTTAATCATGGTAGTTGTTCTTCTCGTGAACATGATGATTGCTTTGCTCTCCAATACGTATCAGCAGGTTCAGGTACTAAACAGATCCCTGCCATCACGGAATTAATTTATACTTATCATAATCCAGAATTAAGAGAATATGGGCTCTTTTCGGCAAAAGATACCAAATAATTTTCGTTGATAAGCTTCTATGATCACTTAAAAATCTATTTTGGCCAACAATATTATGATCCAACTGGTTAAAAAAGTTCCATATCGTACCCATGTTGTTTCTCTGTAAGAATGATGATCAGCCCAAGAGGAACAGCTCAAGGTTCCCGTTAATGATATTGGCGACCTTAAGCAGTCAGGAAGATGTAGATCAATAAAATAGATCTATATTTTTGGTTAGAATTTTGCGAGTGGCTGGATGTGTTTACTGTCTCTTACGGCGCCCCACCTCAGCTTCAACTTAACGCGTATGAGCAGCCTTTAGTTAGAAAGGGAAACTTGAAAAATTTGCCGTCGGGGTCTCCGCTCTCAGACCACGAAAATTTTGGTGATTTCACGACGTTGTTTTGCAGTGGAGGGCCAAGAAATGTAAACAGTTCTACAACGCACTTGCTGAGCTATTGTTCGCTGGATCTCTCGTTGACCCATGCGTTGCCGTTAGCGTTGCGGCTTGCTTAAGTTCCCTATTCCTTTTGTGCAGCGCGTCCGAAATTGGATTCGTAGTTTTGGAGTTAAAATATGAGGAGTTTTTTGTAAAAAAAATGATATGGAATTTTATTTCGTGTGTATGATATGACAGTTTTTCTCCCGCTGAGGGAGTGACGCCTGTTGTTCTTATTTACTGGTACGTCCTTAGATGCTGTTAAGTCCCTCTTTTTGTCTCTATTAGGATAATTCACTGCATGAGTGGTCTTTCAAGAGAGCCATTATTGTTAGGACTTACAGTAAGAGTCATCCAATACCGGTGCCTTTCAACATTTTGTCTGTCCCACTAATGTTACTCTGGAACATCTTTTATCCGTGTTGCACATCGTCTGAAACTCGTGGTTTGGATGAGGAAGGGCGGGTAAGCTGGTAACGCGTGCTAATCAACTTTTTTTGAGTTTTTATTGTTTTGTTGTTCTTGAGAGTTATCGTTCATGTCCGCTCAGTTATTTTACTTTCCGTTTCATTTCTGCTTTTGATTTGAAATTTCTTTGATTCGACAGAGAGGAACCCTGAATAACTTGGTGAAGAAGCTAGAAAGAAGATACATCGAGAAGTACGGTTATGAATTTCCCCTCACAGGTAGGGTGATATGCTCGAGTAGTGTTCATTACTGCTGCGAAGATCACTTTCATATTCGTATGATTTTGTTAACACCATTCAAAACAGGCCAAGTTAATGGGTGGTTTCTATCTTTTTTTAGAGGAAAGAAAGATGGATCACTTGGTTAGACAAAATGAAGGAGGTCGGAAAATGACTAATCAGATTGTACGGGAAATATTCCAAACGCATGGAAACAAGGCGAAGAAACTTGCGTTTGGCCAAAGTGTGAGTATTTTTCAGGCCCACAGAGGTTCCCCACCACACTTCATAGACCTTACTACACGAGGAGATACCTTTGTTATGTTTTTTATTTTACACAAAAATTTTTCCTTCATGCAAATTTAAATGTGAAATGAGGAAAATTACTGAGTACACTTTGTGTCGTATTTCCCTCTTCTTTTGAAGCTTTTGAAGTAGATTTGGGATGTGTGCGTTTGTGAGAACTTTAAAATGATGTTCAGTTTTAACTGAGTTTTTTGATTATGCATAAAAATCTAGTAAAAGATATATGAGCATATAGATATACACAACTACATTTGCAGAGTTGTGTAATTATTTTTGTCTGTGTCTCTTTGCCTCACTTTTGGGAAGGTACTTCATGTAACAGGAATTTTGTTTGATCATCATTTGAAGGCGTGGGATAACTCGCAGGGAATTGCTGTGGATGGCTGCCTCCTAACTTACTTAGGACCTGATTTCTGCGAAAAATGCCGCGAAGATGGAAAGCGTACCAACATTCACAGTGCCAAATTAAATTCTCCCTTTACAGAAGAGACACCACGATTTGAGGTGAGGGTTTGATTTACACACACAGACATACCTACATACATACATACACGCACACAGATAGACAGACATACATGCATACACACACACATTCATAGTTTACCATATAGCCCCACCCCCACTCTTAGGAGCTCCTCCGCCATACGAAGAGAACTATTTGCGAACAACATATGTCGATCACATAATTCCTGCTACACGGTGAAATCTCTGGGAAAAGCGACATAAGTACACCTCTTCTTGACCTTTTTCCTTTTGAAAGCCCAGGTGCTTATAACTTTTCTTTTGTAGGCGCTCTTACTTGTTTCTAGTTTAGAGAACTATGCTATACTTACTTTAAAGAGTGAGCTTAGTGAGGTGTTCATAGTAGAAAGGCGAGACCGTCATCGTTTTGCAGGTACTCATTCAGGGGACTGGAGAGGGGCGTATTATAGCACTAGGTGTTTTGAATGAAGATTTCGACTGTCACAAAATACCTGGTTGTGGTATTGGAACAGTTGGTTACCATGTCGACGATGGGAAAATATTTGAAGGCGGTTACCCTGAAGTGGGAAGAGAGATTGAAGGTATGGGTTACTTTGACTGCAGGTCACGCATTTACTCAAATTTTTACGGAGGTTTCGTCCCGTTACAGTCTTTGTTAGTTCTCCCCTTGAAGTAAAATGAGTTGGCCCCTACCCTTACCAGTTCGCTCCTAAATCTTTCCACTCGTTCTCTGACGGTAGAATATATACTCCTTCTCTGGTGAAATCAAGATACGTTTCGAACAACGTGTGATTGTTTTTTGGAGAAGGCTGGAGTTCGAAAGCTCGATAAGTTGTAGTGAAATGCCTGGCGCAACGACGCAGGAGTGCGAGTATCAAACTACAAAATACGTATGTTGGTCATTGCTTTAGAATGTGTGTTGTCTCCTAAAGAGGCCGTTTTAGTCTAGTTTGTTCATAAAAGTGTTTCGTAAAATTTTCTGCGAACACTAGCATAAAATAGTGTGAACCACATTAGATAAAGAGCGGAATAATGCAGCGACTTTACATTACTTGTTCGGTAGTCGTGCGTCATTTCACACGGCTGATAATTTTCATGTTGATCGAAGTTTTTTTATGGTTTTGCTGTGAAACTTCATGTTGATCGATATAAATGAAGATTTCAAAAAAATATGTTCTATTGAAGGTGACAAGTTGAAAGATTTTGGGGGGCGAGACGAATTCAAAGATGTTTTAGGGGCGAATTGGTAATGGGGCGAAATCTCCAGTTACCGACTAACAACTTTCTGATGGCGCTTGAAAACGCATTCAAGGTTTTACTGTCGTCCTTAATCCAGCCTTGCAACAATAAATATCTGATTTCACAGAAGAAAGAGATTAGAAATGTTAGTTTGTAAACGTTAAGGGGTTCAATTTGAATTTTACCCAATGTTGTTACACCTTAAGTTAACTTTGTTTAATTTGTTCTCTTTTTGCTGTGTTCTAAATATCTTATGTTGATGACTTAGGAGCCGTGGCTTACCGCGGCGATCTCATTGCTTGTGAAGTTGATTTTAAAGAAGTCCCTGATGGTAAAATCTCTGTGTTGTTCTCCTTGAACGGTGAAGAAGTAGGGCGTTCTTCAGTGGAGTATAACTCTAAACAAACTCTATATCCCATCGTCTCAATGGGATCCACAGGCATTAAAGTGCTGGCAAAGGTATGTTCGAAATACGAGGAGGGGGAGGGTGGGGGAGGGGGAGTGTGATGGGCTAGAAATCAAAGCTGTAAATGGTTTGGCTTTATTAGTGATCTGCTAACGTATGATACCTCGGCACGCTCCCACGGCCTCAAGGGATTGTTTCCTCGGCCAATTGGAAGCATAAGGCAAGGGAGCTCTCTTTGTGGCAGCTCTCAGACTCTGAAATAAATTACTCGCTCTGTTTATAATTACCAAAAAGTGTTTAAGCTAAATGTGTCTGTGCACTGATTGACCATACGGGGTGACCAGGCGAAGGAGGCATATATCACATATCATTATGACCATCGCCATCTTGTTTTCTTTTTCAACTTTTAGCGATTATTTTTTAATTTGAGACGTACGATTTCCTCACGTTTTAGATGTGCTATCGAGACCGTTTCAATAGAGTAACAACTGAAGACATTCAGAAGGAAATCAAAATTCTGCAGGATAATTTTCAGGATCTAAAGAGGATGTTGCTGGATCTGAGAAAGAAGTAGAGGAGAAAGAAGGGGCAGGAAAAGTTTTTAAGAAACCGCCGTACATCAGGTGATGATGTAAAATCGTGCACTTTGATGGATCTGGGAGTTGACCAGCTGTAATCTTGGATATCTGTGTGTCGTCGTTATCTTGAATAAATGAAAGGATGCATTTTAATGCAAACTTTATCTATAGCTGTAAATTATATTTCTCGTAAAACTGCAATGCAGTTTACTTATTTACAAAGAGTAGAAAAGGTAAAAATCCATGCACTCATTCTCATTTGTACGTTACGTTTGCTTTATATAATTCTTTGAGTTCAAAGATCTGGTCAAAAATGATGCACCAACAACGGCGCATCATGTGCCTCTTTTTTCGTGTGTGCATCACATTTTGACGTCGTCTGTGATGATTGATCACTGAACAGACACAAGGCAACACAGATTCTATTTGGTCAAATAATGAAATTTAACTCCGCAACTTACATCGCCTCGCACTCAAAAAAAGGGAGTTAGATGTAGAAATGTGCCATCTTCGTTTTCTCCCTGTATTTTGGAGGGGATGACTTAACATGTGAAGAGCCAATAGGCCCTCTAGCATTGACTACATGGAATCACGTGACATTAACCTGGAAGTCGTAAAAAAAAAACCAAAAACCAAAACAAAACATCCTTGATAATTACTGTTGCGTGCAGTATGGATATATGTCCTTGACGTATATTGATGTCCATCGACGGAGTTTTTTAACCTCTCTCTGCATTATCTGAAAAATATGAATATCTCATGAGTTTTGTTGATGAAATATGGGGATTTCTGACCAGACTTCACAGAGCTAATTTCCACTCTCAACCTTTTACCACCTGACATTAAGTATGCTTATTCCATTCTGTTTTCTATGCATTTTCTCTGTGTGCAAAAATTCAAATGGATATACTTTATTGTTTGATTCAGGGATGCGATAGTGTCCTTGACGATAAAATGAATATATAGATGTCCATTGGAATCGTCAGTACGGTTTGACAATTTTACGGTGAAAACGAGTTTTCGATCGTCTCTCTCTGCATTCATTTTGCAGAAAGATAAATATGAATATCTCATGAGTCTAAGGAAAAAAAAATTATTTGATCGTGTAACATTTTTCCCCTGAGCAGTGGAAGCCTTTAAACCCTTAAATTCCTTTGAGTGACCAAGACAAAATTTCTCATTAAAATATCAATGAAATATCAAGCAGACAGGCTATGAGAATAAATAAATATATCAATCAAGGGATTGTTAGCTGATCTAATACCAAATTCTTTACCACTGAGAACTGTATTGACATTGAGAAGTATACGTGTTCACGTATTTATATGCTATCGCACGGTGGGAATCAATTTAGGAATCAATTTCTTTCCGGACGTAATATTTGTACTCCCGAAAAGGTACATATATGGCGTCCCAATATCGACCGCGTTCCCAAAATTTCTGTCCGACAATTTCGTTACTAGAATTTTCCTGAAAGAAAAATCAGTCTCCAATTCTCGACCTCTAGATCGCATGGACTGATCTTGCTGAGGCCCTTAAATCTTTTACTTTTTCCTTTATTTGAGATCATTGACAATGGACAGAAGAAAAATAACCAGAAGTAGAAGCATAATAATCACTAAGGCGAATAAGAATTTGTACGACAAATAAATCTTATGGCAATGCAATCACCGTCGAGATTTTTCGTTTTTCATTAACATTCAGGCTGGATACACTTTATCTGTTACGTTGTTCCGTTTCTCATGGTCGATTTGATCAGGCTGTATTCATTCAGATTCTTCACACAGTAAAGCTCAAATGGTTGGCCTCGTGCAGAAGGTTGCTAGCTCTCTAAGGAAACGGAAAGGCCCCTGACAACGAAGTTGTCTGGTTCCTTAAAGGATCGGAGAAAAGACTGTGATCAAACTACTATGAACACGAAGAGTATGGTTTGGTCAAACAAAAACAGCGTGAAACTCTGACAGAAAACGACCCTTCAGCATCAGTCGGCTTTAAAATCACATATTCTTTTATATGGGCCCTTCCTCTGAAAATAATGGGAATGGTTACAGAGGCTGCTCAATACAAAAAATTGCGAATATTTGATATCAACACACACTCCGCTGTACACAGAAATATCTGAAAGACGAGGACAAAGGCGTGTAAGCATAAGGTATTTCCTGAGGCTGTTTTGTTTTGCACAATACTCTTACTTTTTGATTAGAATTTGATCGGCATTTTCCAGCTCATCATATTTTTGTGTAAATTAAGGAACTGTTTAATTCTTTTCAATATGAACGCGGGAAATTTAAATATTGTCTCTAAAGTCTGGAAAAGTGCCTGACTTATGGAAATCGGCTAATATCTCTCCATTTCACAAGAGTGACAGCAGGGAACTTGTAAAACAACTACAGATCAATCTCATTATTGCCCATTCCAGCAAAGTTTTTGGAGCAGATAGTGCATACTGCTGTCTACGAGCATATTGCACCCTATTAACTGAGTGGCAACATGGATTTGTCAAAGGCAGATCATGTGAAAGTTTTCAAGTTTTATTATTTCACACTGTTTACAGAAAAAATAACTTAACATAACATGATTTACAATGATATAGAAAAAATACAAACAGAAATTAACTAGAAGAAAGAATATTTAATTGTGTACAGAGACCAAAGTAGGCAATGAGCTTTCGAGTTGGCCACTGTCATGTGTAGATATTAGTTGGGCTTGGCCGCATGTTTAGTATAATTTAAATTAATAGTGACATTAAAGACGAAATTGTTATCGTAAGAGAAGAAAGACATATATAAATGCAAGTTAGAATAAAAGGAAAACTGCATATTGTGAAGCATTATCTTATTTAGCTAACAGTTAAACAATGGTCAGTTTTGAGTAATCAACAAGAATCTTTTATACCGCTTTTTGAATAGCATGTATGGAAAACGTTTAAATTCAGGTGGTACAGATTCTCAGATTTTTATTGCAGAGAATTTAAACGTAGACATACCATAATTAGTGTATACTGATGGCTTAAAGAAGTTTTGATTTGCAACATACCTGGTATTATATGAGTGAATCTCTGATGCAGGTGTGAGAATATTCAGTAGTACAGCTGGGGTGTCATTCTTAAGTTTATATGTAAAAAGTGATACTTTTAGTCTGCAAATATTTTCAAGTTTCAAGATTCCAAGGAGATTATAGTAGGGGTTGACATGTTCTCTGCCATGAACAAAGGACATGCTTCGTATACATCTATTCTACTCAGTGCAGATTTTATTTAATCTACTTTTGTAAGCAGCACCCCAGCTGGTAAGACCATAGTTTAAGTATGGATAAATAGGGGTATAATATAACTGTTTGAGCATATGAAAATCAAGATAGTGTCTTAACTTATTAATTATACCTACATTCTTTTCTAATTTATTATTTACATGTTGAATTTGGGATTCCCACGGTGGATGCTATAGATATATATACCTAGATACTTAATATAATTTTTGCAGTCAATATTGCGGATATTTAAATGTATTTTTTTCTTTGATGATGTGAAACACAGCTAGTTCTTATCTATCACCAGTGGGCTGCGGCCCTTGACGTAGCATTCTTGGATTTCTTCAAGGCTTTTGACAGTGTGAGTCATCAACTTTTATTGCGAAAGCTCTGTAGTTTTGAAATCTCCGGGTTACTTCTGCTCCGGTGTGAAAGTTATTAAAGCAACCGTCAACAAAGAGTGGTGCTGAATGGAGTCTCCTCTTCCTGGGCTGAAGTTACATCTGGAGTCCCACAGGGTTCTCCTTGTTGGGGCCCTTATTCTTTGTCATTTTTATAAGTGACTTACCCGAAGTCGTTCTCCCGGGCAACACTATTGCTCTTTATGCAGATGCCTGCAAGGATCATTGATGCTGCGAATGATCAGGATTTGTTTCAACAGGATTTGGACAACCTTTTTCAGAAGAGCGTTCGAAATTGCCAGAATTTTCATGTAAAAAAATGCAAAATTATGGCATTAACTGAGAAAAAACATCTCTACATTTCAAGCTTTACTTTGAATAGTTATAGACTGGATGAGGTCAAGGAATTCAAGGATTTAGGAGTTATTACCAATGAGTACCTCTCATGGAACTCCCATTTTGACAATGTGGTTGCCAAGGCTAATAGAATACTTGGTCTACTTAAAAGAACCTGTTGAGGTTTCGATGATTCGAGGACCCTGAAAACTTTATATTGCACCTGAAAGGACATGGAAAATGTTGAAAGAGTTGGGACAAATGTAATTTATATATTATTAATTGATGATAAAAGCTGTTAAGTATGTTAAGCTGCCAGTGCCAGCATCTGAAGCCATCTTTCAGGTACGGCAATTAAGTAACAATGAGAAGTGCTGAAATCAGTAAACTTCATGTAGATCCAATTAATTATTAGAAGAAATTTCAATTATTTTTTAATTTTGATGTAACTTTTGACACACATGCAGTAATCAATAATTCTGACATAATTCCAAGACTTTTGGACAAAATTGTTTCATTCAAGTTTATTTACCTCAGTTGCTTTAAAATGTCGGGTAAATTCCGTAAGGTATTGTCACTTTTGGCACTGTCTTGTCCAGATAAAATCTCAAATGATTCAAGGTCAGAATTTTGTTAGAAAAGCCATGGAGTTTAACACTGATTGACTCACTGGTTGTTAGATTTGTTAACAGACTGATCGATTGGCATACTGATAACTGATCAGCTTATCAACTGATAATCAAAGTGAAAGACTGTCTACTGAATAAGTGACTAACAACGCGTTGGACTCACTAAATCGTTGAGGACCAAGCGACCAAATTAGTGACTGACTGACTGACTGACTGACTGGCTGATTGACCGATTGATTGATTGATTGATTAATTGATTGATTGCACTGCATTGCACTGTCTCACTGTACATGTATTAAAAAAATTTTGTTTTCTTGCAGATAAGATGTCATCGGTGAGATAACAGCACTAGACCATAATCTTAATGGCTATCTTCCAGGATTATTGCCTTTTTAACTTAACAATCCATTATGGGTGAATGAGCTAGGTAAAAAAAGGGATATAAACCAAGTTCTAGTTTCTTCAACCTTTTTCAGAGTTGTAGTT